CTGTTGGACCCCAATGTTGGAGCAGCTAAGTAGCGTCGCCTCCTAGTCCTCTCTCGTAGGTTTAACGAGGGAAGAAATATTGTAATATCGCGGGGCATAGCAACGTAATTGTTTAGAGCCGGCATAAAATTTTCTCCTGCCTTATCCAGACCCTGGGCAGGGGGTGGATACCGGGGATGCTGGGAGCGTTAGTATTGCTTTTGCGAGCTCTGCCTAGATACGGGATGAACACTCACTGTTATTTTACATTATTGACTATCATTGATATTTTTAATTATAGTTTGCAGAATGACCCTACAGAAATATAAATAGCATCACCGCCCAAATTGTTTCAATGTGAGTAAAATTGTCATTTTTACTCAACAACATCAACAACATAAGAAAAACCCCCGTAAGGCTGAGTGCATTGAGGAAAAACATCAAACTGAAAAAAAAAAAAAATGCATTTTAAGTTTCAGGCAGCTGTAACGTCAGTGGAAGAACAGCCACAGTATTACGAATTAATCATTCAATAGAATTATTCGTCATGAGAATAGCCATACCAAATATTTGACCATTACTTGCTAATATATTCATAATATCTTGTAAAGCCATGTGGTACACCGAGAACCAGAATGATGAACACTGTCTTTACTATTTCATAGATGCATCATTTCCCTGCAAGCTAAATAAGTACAAAAGCTGTCTAAAAATGTGGACTTCCTATTAGCAAATAAAATAGACAGAGATTGGTCCTAGGAGGCACATGGCTTATTTATTAAACAAAAAATCCGCGATAATTTTCCAGCAATAACTCTTGGCTCTCAAGCAGTGAAGGGCTGTACAAGGGGTTCCCTGCTAATTTGTGCTGATTTGAGAGCTTGTTCTTTGTATCACAACTGTATAAGTGCTCCTTCTGTAACTACTCATGTCAAATTTGGTTTCTGAAGGCTGTGGCGCACAAATCAATTTCTCAAAGAGTAACAAAGCGTCTTGGCAGTTTGAGTGTTGCTGTCAGGCCGTGGTTGGAGCGATTGACGTTGCGCCCTCATCGATGATATTGGGTGCCTTAAATAAATTCATTTTGCTTCATAATCCATTACTTTAGCACTACTATTATCCCCAGCTACATTAAGTCAGAAACGCTTCTCGCACGAGTCTCAAACTTGTGGGAATTGAGGCTAGCCCGCTGCCTTTGCGCGGGCTTTGCCGCCTTTTCTGCCGTTCTCATGTACCAACATGTCTGCCCTCCTTTGCTGTCTGCCGTGGTGGGAGAGCGGAGTGACGTTTAACTCCCTCACCCGGAAGCGGATGTTGACTGTGGCGCCGCGCGCGGGGACTCCCGAGAGGTTTTCGCGCGCTGCGTCGGGAGCGGTCAGATACTCTCCGGGACAGCAAACGGTGAGCCACGCAATCTTTTCCGTCCGTCGACTCCCGTCGCTCGGGGGCTCGTTGGACTTCGCTGACGGCGCCTCGCGCCCGAAGCGAACGCTCACCTTTTTGTTGCCCCGCTGCGTACGTACGGCCGAAGGGCGGTACGGTGTCCTAGTGCGTGGCCTCGCTACGCCGACCCGTCTTCCTTCGAAGCCAACGCGAGCGCCTTTGCCCTCGCTCGAGCAACCGGGCCTTTGTTCCGGTGTCTCCGTGGATCACCTTTACCACGGAGACGTGCTCGTGGCACCCTGTGTAGTACTTTGTGCCCGTGGTGTGGATAAGCCTACTTGCTTTCCCGCCGCGCCTTTTTGCAACGGGCTGTACTGCGTTTGGTGTTGCCACAATAAAGTCTTGCGACTTGAGCAGTATCGTGTTCTCGCCACGGCAACAATTAACGCGTGCCCTGCGGCTCGCTCAGACCGGACCCACGCTGGTGGCCGTACTTCTTCGGGATACGTGTACACCACACTGGCGCCCAACGTGGGGCCCGAACCCACGACCCTGAGATTAAGTGTCTCATGCTCTACCGACTGAGCTTTGCCCTCGCTCGAGCAACCGGGCCTTTGTTCCGGTGTCTCCATGGATCACCTTTACCGCGGAGGCACCCTGTGTAGTACTTTGTGCCCGTGGCGTGGATAAGCCTACTTGCTTTCCCGCCGCGCCTTTTGCAACGGGCTGTACTGCGTTTGGTGTTGCCACAATAAAGTGTTGCGACTTGAGCAGTATCGTGTTTTCGCCACGTCGACGGTTAACGCGTGCCCTGCGGCTCGCTAAGACCGGACCCATGCTGGTGGCCGTACTCCTTCGGGATACGTGTACACCACAAGCTTCAAGTGCAGTGCAGCCCCGCCGCGGTGGTCTAGTGGCTAAGGTACTCGGCTGCTGACCCGCAGGTCGCAGGATCGAATCTTGGCTGCGGTGGCTGCATTTCCGATAGAGGCAGCAATGTTGTAGGCCCGTGTGCTCAGATTTGGGTGCACGTTAAAAAACCTCAGGTGGTCGAAATTTGCGGACTTCATTCCGGCGTCTCTCATAATCTTATGGTGGTTTTTTGGCGTTAAAGCCCACAAATCAATCAATCAATCGAGTGCAGTGCATACCTTCCGCCTTGACACAGGTCTCTTGAGCCGAACTCAGAACAAGGCAGAAGCCCAACGAACGCATTTTTTCACAAGGACAAAGTCCACGCTAATTTCTTTGCCCCCGTTCACCAATATCCAAAAGCTTGAACCTCCGCTGCTTCAAAACGCACTACACACAGTGATACCAAGCACCCGTTCTACCACCACATTTCCCGCGCACTCGGCAGTCCCGTATAGTATGCCATAACAATGCGGTTTCAAATGGCACTGAAGCACTGTCCAACGTTCTGGTAGCTGCAGTTTTGCCAAAGGGACTAAAGTGCTTATTTGGGCCGGTTGGTACATGGTCAACGAAGTGAAAAAACAGCGCGTAACACAGGACACAGGACAGAGAAGAGACGGACGAGGCGCTGACACAACGGAAGAGCGGAGAAAGGGGTAGGATATAACAGAGCCCGATGTATTAGAAATGATCGGGCTCTGTTATATGTGTGTGAAATGTGTCCTGTGTTACGCGCTGTTTTTTCACTTCGTTGCCAAAGGGAACCAGTTCATTTTCGTAGAATGCGCCGCACCTCGGGCAGCAGGTAGTTTTAGCATCGCGTCAGCGACCAAATTCAGCTGTGCGCACTATCGTCTATCTCGTACACTTGGCACGACACTGCAGCAGCGCGGGCGAGCAACGAAATGGCTACCCCAGGTTGCGCCAGCCAATGGGAGGCTCAAAAAAAAAAACAAGGGGGTGGCTCGCCTTGCGCGCGCGCCCTCTGGCCCATAGTTTTTTTGGAAAAGCAACGATAGCTGGCATTCTGTCGAAGGGACATCGTTTTGAAACACCACAAAATTCGCACAAAGAAAACAGCTTCAAAACAAGCCCAACATGGCGCCGATCGGCCAGCTGCTGCACGCTCAGCAAGTTCGAACAAATTTTGCCTTCTGCGATGCGATTTGCGGTTCTCATGGTGTCTAGAATCAAAGCTTTAACCAATTTTTCGGGTGAAATTGGCAATATTTTGAGGGCAGCTGTCTGGAGGTACAAACTTTTTTTTTTTTTTTTTCGAAACTCTCTTTGGCTTTTTTTTACGATTCTTACCCCCGTATCCAGAAACGCTCCTTGACTTTGACTTGAAACTGCTTTCAATTCTGCGCGTTTGAAATGCGTCTGTGCTGCCTTGGCATCGCCTGAAGACAACGCGTTCGAAACGTGTTTGTGCTGCATTGAAGTCGGTGACAAGTTCAAGTCAAGCAGCGTTTCTGAATACTGGGGTAAGTGTCCCCACAGTAGTTTATCTTTCTGCTGGCTTGTCAAGGTAGCCATTGGTGTGGTCTCATAGCTTTTTTGCATAAGTGACCATTTGATATTCTTTCTTTTTTTCACCTTTGTCTTCTCTCTTTATTTTTAATGACAGCTGATACATAGATATGTACCGTATTTATTCGAGTCTATGGTTGGCTTAGATTCAAGGATTTTGAAAAACGCAATATTTTTTATTGAGAAAAGTGGTGCACAACTGGTGCCACCTTGACAGTATTGTAACCATTATACTTGGAGACAACTTTGTGTTGCGATGAAGAAAAGGCTATGGAGTCAAAGTGGGGGTGTGCCATCGCTTTAGAATATAGGGCCACAAATGCATCCGTGTTTTTCATGTGAAAATAATAAGAAAGAACATTATTTTCTTCTGGATTCTGCTTTTAAAGAGACGCTGCATGCACCAAGCAGTAATTCATATCTGTTGTTGCTTTCCGAAGTCTCTCTTTGCGCTTTTGCGCGTCTGAAAACACCGTATATTTTCCATGCACCTCTTAGTCAAAATGGCGCCTTCGTCTTTTGGTAAGCGCGCGTCGTCCTCCAGCTATTCCGACGACTCTCCGAAGGAGCTTGTGTCAAATTTCACTCACAAAGAGCTATGTAAGCAGGCGTATCAAATAGTGTGCAGTGGGATTGTCTGAACATGGCCATCTGTCGTAACGCGAGACGAACCGGACTACTTCGCCGAGGTGTATAGGAGCGGTAGCTCCGCCCCCATATCTTTCCCTTCATCTACACAGAAAGTTTTGCCCAAGTATAGTAGCCGAGCCAACACCTGGCTTAAGCCAGGTATTGGCTCGGCTTGTAAGGGCTACAATACTGTTTAGGTGGCGCTAGCTGTGCACCAGTTTTCTTAGTGAAAAATGTCGCATTCTTCAAAATCTTTGAATCTAAGTCGGCTGCAAAATTTGATTCAAAGAAATTTGGAAAAAAAAACTATAGATTTGAATAAATACGGTAGTAAAATTCTACAATTGGTAAAAGACTTGATTGTTGGCCAGTTGGTTGGGCATAATGGGGTGAGATAAGTGCTAATCAAACAAGGGACACAAAGGCGCTTGTCCTTATTTTATCGTCCAGTATAAGCAGTTGCTTTTTATATCAATACTGTGCTTTACACTTTGCCGTAATTCTTATTTGGATATTTTTAGAAGGGTAACAGCATGACGTGTTGGTGTGCATGTTACATCTAGATGGTGTGCGACTTCAATGAACAGCTCCAGCCTCAACCTACTCTGCCATTAGAGGGTATAGGGAAACGTCCTCCAGGGCGTAGAGTCCATCACAGGAACAAAGGAATGCACCACAATTCTCGAGCCGAGCCTGCAGCACCTCCACCTACAGCTGAGGCAAGTGGGTTTTATACTGGTATGGGAAATCCGCCATCTTGTTTGTGGGCCGCAGTAATACTGGTTGTGTGTTGTGTTCAGTGTTCTTTTCTTTCTCTCTATGATGCATTTTTTTCATGTTATGGTTACTCTATTTCCTCCAACTGTGGTCTTGTTAAAACTGATGAGTTTTACTGCGAAAAACATCCTATATTTCTAATCTGTCACAAATTTTTGCTCTAGTAATTGCAAAATGGTCAGGTTTATGACACCTAAAGACAGTTCCAAAGAAAAAAGTACCATGGAAACGTTATAAATCAAATATTTTAAGTGAACATGCGGCGAAGCTTATTCCACGGTAAAGGTAACTAACTAAGCAAAGGCTTACTAATCTTCGCCGTGTGAAAGGTGCATGCAAGGGTCCTGGGGAGGGGGGGTCTGCGTATCTCCAGGTGCTTCATACTTTGACCAGCATAGGCTGTGAACTCTGTACTTAGAATGTGTGAAGAACAAGCACAGTTGTGGGAATTTTTCAGATACTTTAAAGGAACACTAAAAGCAAATAAGAATTGGTCGGAGTGAAAGCTCAGTGTATGACCATGATAACATGGCAATGTTATCAACAGCAGTGCCCTACTTACCAAGAAATTAAGCTAAATGTATCACATGACGTGCGCCACAAATGGGAGATTTTCAGGGGTGCAACAGCTGCACTAATTGTGCCAGTTTCATACAATTCCCCATTTCTGCACCAAGCTGCGCCAAAACCATAAAATTTGCTGAAATTGTGCCACTCTGCACTAAATGCCCCACCAGCCTCAAAATTTTTTCAGTTGGGCTAATTTCAGCGAGAAATGGAGGCCACGTTGGCTACCTGTATTTTCAAAATCAATCGATCAATCAGTCCAAAGATCCAAGTGCATAGACCCTAACACACAGTGTAAGACATATACTCATTAGGTCGGGACACTTGCGAGACGTGACCGACCAAATAAAATAACAATGCTACGTGCACATCAGTCCGCTGACCGCAGCAGATCTCTATCGGCGGGACAACGCAACTTCAAGACAAAAATGCGTTGCCGCAGCTGCCGTAGCCACCAATACTTCGTGGGAATTATGAATTTCCTACCATGTAGGGAACTGAAGCTGGAAGCGTATGCCGTAGCGGCATTTGTAGCGTAGCTGCATTTGTATGTAGTGGTGAAACCATCACATAGCATTCTTAGGAGTGTGGAGTCTGATTAATGCCTGCTCTCTGTCTGTTAACCTTAACCTAGTCTCTTCAAATACAGTATAACCTCATTACAACAGACCTCCATAGTGAAGAGGATTTTGGTCTGTCCCGTGTGCTCAGATTTGGGTGCGCGTTAAAGAACCCCAGGTGGTCGAAATTTCCGGAGCCCTCCACTACGGCGTCTCTCATAATCATATGGTGGTTTTGGGACGTTAAACCCCACATATCAATCAGGATTTTGGTCTGTCGTGAAAGGAATATGTAAAATCAAAGTACCGTTACAATAGACTCTTATGGATACACTGAGTGGGTCTGTTATAACGTGAGGCAATCACGAGTCATGTTAAATTTATTTTTAATGGGGCATAAAAAATTTGATTTATTGGAAATCATTCTTCAGTGTCTGTAGCCTTTTTTCTATCTGATTCCAAAATTTTTTTACTAAAAACTACGTAGCAGTGCTGTAAAAAGTTTTTCGCGCGTGCCGCGGTGGTGAAAATCGTGGAAGTCGCAAAAAAAAAAAAAAAAAAATTGTTTTCAAGAATATATAGTGTCGCAATGGCAGAACTGCCCATCATTTTTTGGCTCATGCTAGGAGTATTTTGTAAAGGGCATTCAGTGTTCAAAAAGCAGATGTTCGAAATTCATTTGGAGGATTCTGATTGCCTGCTTCTGCTGTATTGCTCCAGTGCACTTCGCTAGTCCGATGCTCATTCCGGATACGCCTTCGAGATAGTGTTGCTGCTTCTTGGGAGTCGCGAGGTCGCGGCTGTCTAAAATAGCACCACTTCGTGACATTTCTGGCTTGTTTTGTATTCACGGGTTCAGTCTTTAAATTACGATCACTCGCCGTATTCGTTGCGAACATTGCACGCACACGTCTCGAACCAATTTTTATAGCATTTACTCGTTGGGAAGAACGTCCTGCTTATCAGCGCTTTGGACCTTGCAATGAAGACCATTGCGGGACAGATTTGCGTACTCGTGATTGAGCACATCGTACACTTAAAAATTCGGCACCACGGCCACGCACATCGCAGCTGCGCTTTCTGCTTGAAGTCGTGCCTAGACGTAACTCCGCATTGAACTTGGCGGGTAAAACAGTCGCGCTAGTGGATATGCAAAAGCAAAGAAGACATGTTTCGTCGCGAGCAACAAATCACATTGGCCGCTGGCTTCTTGTAACCACGAATCTTGCCCTTCAGTAGCGAACCCCAGCTGTGCTCGTCGTGCACCAACCACTCAGAATAGCGCTGGCAGGAGCCAGCAATTTCGCGCCCCAACACGCAAAATCGAACACGCTGTGTGCTGATTTTTCACCGCTGTAGCTAGGCATCTCATCGTTAACAGACCGGAGATATGCGGCCTTCGTTCTGAAATCGCTACGTTGATATTCCCGTCCCAAAAGTATCCAAGTGATTTTTGAAGTCGAAAGTTATTGAGTTTGGGATGTCCGTGGTAGAAAAGTCTGCTCAAAAGGAGTTCTGACCACCTTGATGGCCTCACATTATATAGTCAAATATATCCGAATGTCTGTTATACCAGAATCCGTAGTAAACAAAGCTTCCAGAATCCGTAGTAAACGGAACGAATAGGGAGGTCGGCATAACGCCGCAAATCAGTATGCATAATACTTACATCGTTGCTCTGCCACATGTGTCCGTCTCATTAAAATGTATTTTCAAGACAAATTTCCAACAAAAATTTGTCCATGGTAACCCAAAATTCATTTGACAGTGTTCTTCAATAGGACAATCATTGCGGGAATGTTAGTTAGCAAACAATTTCAAGTGACAGGAATTGTGTTTTATATGCATGTTTGTTACATGCAAATACTGTAGTGTACAGCATATCCTGAAGGAGTATGGACACTAGCGAGGGCTTGCTCCTGGTGAGCTGCAGAGCCGCGTTCTTAGACGGCCGCAAAGCCACGGACTGCGGAGGAGAGGAGAGTCATGTTAGCACATGAGAATGACAAAGGCGGCGCAATGGCGGTGGGCTAGCCTCAATTCCTACGATGCATTGTTATAGGCATTGACTCCAGTCATTTGCCACCTGTACTTGCCACCTGAAAAACTCTTCTTTCACCTTCATTCACGTGAAATTGTACTACTCCTATAGTGAAAATATTATATGTCCATAGTTTTTTGCAGCATGAGGTTGGTTTAAGCATAGGGAGGACTTAATTTCAAATTGGATAAACTGTGCATTGTTCTATATATGGCCCTTTGTTTGTTTGTTGTCAGGTTATGGAACAGATGGAGGATCCTGTGGGCCATATGCCTCTCGCGTATGCCCCTGGCCAGACTGGTTATTCTTACTCATTCCCTCAGCCTGTGTACTACATGTGCGTCCCGACAGCACAGCCTTTCTACAGTCCTACCCAAGGCCACCATCCACTGTCATTTGTTACGGCCATGGTCTCGCCCCAGCCTCCACCGCATGTGGCCATGGCAGCTCCCAGTACACTGGCCAGTGAACCAGTGACAGGGGCCCATTATGCTGAGCCGCCTGATCTGAGCCTGGCAAGTAGAATACTTTTCCAAATGTCATGAAGCAAGTTTTGTCTTGCATGGAGGTAACTAAAGCATACATTATACAATCGAATGTCGTTCATAGAAATTCCTAGTGGATCAGTAATTTATTTGAATAAAATAATTTATACCAAGGAAAAAAAAGACTTCTTATATATGCAGCAATATTTTATTAATTCGAGCTCTGGTACTTTGAAGTACTGTTTATTTCAAAGAATTTGTGTGGTCCGATATTTCAAGTAAATTTGAGGGGTGCAACAGCATCAGCCTGCTTCCTTGCCTGATAAATCGTTAGTTTAATGCATTGGATTCTATGAGAATTATGTGGGGATATCCGAAAACAAGTTAGTAGTTGTGAAGATGTAGCACCTAAGTATGTAAGGGGTGCTGTATACACTCCAATTAGAAAATATAGGGGGCGCCTTGAAAGGCGTGCGTAGCTCCACTTGTGCGGCGGGAGCGCAACTTTGAGTCTTAGCAAATAGTAGCGCCTCGTTGCTTTGATAGCTATGGTGGCGCAAGCGCCCGTGACCAGTGCATAAGTGCTTCGAGCAAGATTCAGAGATCTCGTTGAGAAACATTGTTCCGCGATGCCACCATAAATAAATGGGAAAGCCTGCATGAAAGCGGCCACGTTTCCACATTAGTGAGCGCCTTGCTGTCCATTGTCTGTTAGTACTGATGGCTAAATACTCAGGTGTGCGTACCGTATTTACTCGCGTAATCCTCGCACTCGCATATTTCTCGCACCCCCCCCCCCCCATCGCCCAACAAAAATACGATTTCTTTTTTTCTTTGAGTAATTATCGCACCCCCGAAAACTGTCGCAATAATGTCGTCTGCTCGCTACAACCACTGATGATAGCGTGCGCCGTCTGGCGCCATCTCTGAAGCATCAAGCGTACTATTATTGCACAGAGATTCAATCTAATCCACGCCAAGCCAAAGTGGCAAGTGCGCGTTGGGGCGTGCTTTCTATGTTGTGTCGGTAATCTTGTCGCGTTATGGGGCGATACTGAAGCTACACGGCTGCTTTTAAGTTGAAAGTGATAGATCATTCACTAAACAACGGCAACAGGGCCGGCGGAAGGCCCTTCGGAGTCTAGGAGTTTTGTGTTCGCTACTGGTGACAGCAGCTGAAAGCCACCAAGACTAGTTGGGCCTGTTGTGTGCATATGAAACTGGGATTGATGGTCAACTTTATTTCTTCAGAAGGAAACTGCGGACGATTCTGTTAAATATCCATCAGCCCAATACTGACGTCCTACGCTTACCTTTTGAGTGCTTCCGTTAAGCGAGGAACGCTACCGCTACACCTGCAACGCCCACAAGCTTTGCGTATGGTATTCGAATTCCCGACTATTTGCTCGCACTTTTTGTGTCTCAAATAAATCTTGCCTTGTCTTGAACCTGTACTTTTTATTGTTGAGGTAAGTTTTAGTTAGTACTTCTCAAAGCTTCGTTCTCAAAGCTTCTTGTTAGTTGCTGGTGTGAGAATCCCGATTTGCGGCCACTTCGTTTTTTTTTTTCGCTCTGTACGTTTTCGTGGAAAGTTTTCCCCGTGTAATTCTCGCGCTCCCAACTTTGCATCGGTTTTCCGCCAAAAAAAGTCCGAGGATTATGCGAGTAAATACGGTATATAATGCAAGATGCTTACTTCATAACTGTCGAGGTAAGCTGTCATTTTTTCACTTAAGGGGGGAATCCCACTTAAAAAAAACTTTATTTGTGGGTACATTTTGATCAAACTTGCAAGCTTTATGTGTTTTGACATACTGATTTCAAATAGGCAGTTACTTTTTCTCTACAACAAGTACTTTTCAAAATATCGAGAATTTTGTGTTTTTTTAATTGGCTTATTGGGAGTAAAGTTTTCTCTTTAATGCAGGTTGTCATCAAAGACAATGGCATATGAAAATGACCCTGTGTTGTCAGAGCTTGAAGTGGTACAAGAATGAAAGTTCTAGAGTGATTTGAGCCGAAGTTACAGCATGTCAAACATTTGCAAGCCAAAGGCTTCAGTAACACTTTAGAGCAATTATTACTTTTGAAAAATATGTCTCATGTTATTTGTTCAAATTTTAGGCCTACTGCAATCCCCATTTGTCCCCTTTTCTAACAAAACAAGAATCGATGCGATAGGATAAGTATGACCAGAGATATCGTCACTCCAAAACTACATGATGATCAAAAACGCAGTTTTGAGAAAACGACAAAAAACATTTCCAGACAAATTAGAAATTATTATGGAAATTACTTCAACATTATAGTGATAAAGGATGATACACGGGTTCAATCAGGCAAGAATGAATATTTTACAATAATTTTAAATTAAATTAGGGCATCTCAAAATTCACTTCTAAATCCCAAACTTTCTAAAATGATCATTTTTGTAAATGTTCTTCAATTATGTATAGCTATATACTAGTCCTACTGCACTTGTCAATTCACCACTTTTCTGACAAAAAAAGAATTATTGAGACTGGTTGAATAGAACCACAGATATTGTTGTTCCAATATGACACCATCAGAAATGCCACTTTGGGGAAACAGGTAAAAAAAATTTATTTACACACTCTCCCTCCAAAGAAAAAGTACCTCAAAATGATCCAGGGGAGTAATCGGGATGCATTTTGTCATAGTGACATTTGTTCACTGCCTTAGTAAGGCCAAGTGATGCTGCCCTTTTTTTAGCAGAACTTGTGCTACGCCGCAGGTCCTTTTGTCTTGCCCTGTTGGACCCTGTAGGTGTTAAGTTCACATTCAATTCTGCTAGCACGGCCGTAGCCGCGTGCTCATTATTAGCATTAAAACGCAGCACAGCCTCCGCTACAGCTGCCTGTACTGCAATCAACGATCAGTGCTGCTCTTTTGCTAGTATGCTCCAGATTACCGAGTGGAAAGACTAATTTGAGTGCTGGGTCTTTCTCCTGAGGCATCTTCGCAGCAGTCTCCTCTCCGACAATCGCTGGTAAACCGGCAAGAAAGCTGCAGCCACATCACTGGGCAAATTATATTTGTGCTTGGGCTCTGGCTCCCCTTTAGCCTTTGCTGCGTTGTGGCGACACCAAGATTGCTCACCAGTTGGGCACAGTTGGTGGTTCGGGCAACTGTAGGTAGAGTTGACGTGATGAAATGTTGCCATCACTGCCCGGCTCATGGCTTCAGCATAACCTACGTGCGATTTTAGCACTCGCCCATAGTAGACAGCCAACTTGTTAATCAGTTCGGCAATCTCCCCTTGCCACCTAGGCTTCGTTTGCCTTCCCCCTTGTGTTGTTGCACTAGGTTGCATAGTGCAGTACCCATACGTTTCTTGACGTGGTCTACGCAATCCTCCTTCTCCACTTCAAAGTAGCCATAAATTTTCGCTTTTATGGCGTATGTGCGGCTGTCACCATCACAACACCGTAGTGTAACAAAGGTCATGTCGCTGAAGTGATCGTTCAAACAAAATTTTGCCGGCTTCTACCTCCATTTGACCAGACTCTCAGCTAGAATTCTTCTGGCACTGGTGGCTTGGCTTCCAGATATTATAGCCCTCACTGCCTGGCTTAGCGCCGTTCTCACAACCCAAACAAAAGTTAGACGTCACATGGTAGTCGATCACGTATTCAGTAAACAGTTCGACAACCATTCCAACACCAATGTGAGAGGAATGCCCCCTTGTCAACCAAGTGCCGTCATAGCACACGGCAATGTTCTTTTTGGGCCCAAAACACGTTTCCTTTTATAACTACTTTACTTCACTCACGCGCCGAGTCATAACGGTCGCGGCAGCTCGGGTGGCAGCCGATTCTAAGTTGGTTTCAAGTGCCATTGAAATGTCTTATTGTGCAGCCCCTACCGAGTCAGTGCCATCGCCGCGAAAATATCGTTCATGGCTGTCTGGCTGTTCCCACTGCAGAGCATCGCACGCGTGGTTAAAATGTTTACCGCAAATGCATTGCAGGACTTATCACCATTGACTCGGCGCGAATTTTATGCCGTCATGACTTCGCCACAACAGTCGCACCCGTGACTAACTTTGACTAATTTTGTCCACAACAACACCCGTGACTAATTTTGCGCACCTGCCACATTCTCTGCAGCGTAGGGAAGCAGCGAGCAGCTAATTCAGGACCTCCATGTCAGTCATCACATACGGAGCTGCAGGGTCCGCGGCGTAGTCCGATGACGCGTTGCTTGCACCGGTGAAAACTGCAGTCTTTCGCGCTGTTCTTGGTGTCGACCCCGCAGGGGCGTCTGCGTAAGTAGGCGTTTGGTGCGTAGCGACACCACGGACCCGAGCTAACGGGGGAGTTTCGACTCCCTCCCACGCCTAGCCGTGCGTGGCGTTGCCGTGTCCGGGGAAAAGGGAATCCTGGGGGTTGAGCCGACGCCGGGTGATTGGACCTTTAAGGCCCCCCGGCAGAGGCAACACACCCCTTTGGCCCCGGCTTCACGTAGACGGTACCCCTGGGCTGACCCACCCAGGGGAAATCGGCAGTCGCCTCTTCCTGTCTCCGTCTCTCCATCTTCGTCTTTTGTACTAGTTTTGATCTTGCCTGTCCTCTCCTCACTTCTTTTTACTTCCCTAATTCTCGGCGGCAAGGGTTAACCTGGTGTAGATATCCAACCTTGGGTAGATATATTAGGTTAAGCGGCCATGTACCGCTGGCGCTTGCGTCTCCGCGTCTCGCAGCGTCCCCTTGTTGGGCTTGATGGGGGGTCGCTGGCATGGCCGCCGAATAAGCTACCAAATTCATGGGAACTCCTAGAACTCTCACAATCAATCGCCCCTCCAAGAGGCGGCGCACCGAGGCAATTTTTAAATTTCTTCCAAACAAGAAAGATAACTTCCGGAAAAAGCACATCATCCACTGTGAAAGTACAGAAAAGAAAGCTAGAAGCATTTCACCTATCCTTGTGTCCAGACGCCTTATAGAAACGCTAGGCACAGGCTACAAAGCCACAAAGACCGCCAGTGATGACCTGCTACTCGAAATAAA